TATTTTATTTGTTTTGTTGTTGTTGTTGTACACATTATCGTACTGTTTTATAACTCGTCTCACAATGAAGACATAATGTATTTAATAATAATTTTCGACATCAGATAGATTTTAATCAGCTAATTTGTTAGATGCCAAAACAAGAAGCTATGGCATGGAATTATAAGATTTATAAGTTATGATAAAATGTGTGTGTGTCTGTGTGTGTGGATATTTGTTTATATTTGTAAGTTGTGATTTCATTGGGGTTCATTGGACATAGGAAATGTAATTGTGTAGTGTTTAATAACGGTGTAGCATTTTTGAATTCCAGAAGCAATAAATGTTTAAATATAAACATAGATTATTTGGAATGTGTATGTAGAGGCATCAAACTACTTTAAAAACGGCGAGATATTTTTTATCCAAACATAATAAAATACCGATATCGTGAGTTATATCTTTGAGCCTGAACCAAAGACAGCTCGACTCTACAGTCCTACTAGAAACAGCTGCAGACTCGAATAACTGAACAAATACCACTTTCTGCGGATCTGCATTCGGAGACTGGGCAATATTACGCGATATTTGTATCATCCTGACCGGATGATTTAAGGACTTTCGGGCACCATTTACAAAAAATCGGACGAAAATATATATGGGAGCTATATCTAAATCTGAACCGATTTGAACGAAAGTTATCACACATCATTCTAGACTTAATTCAGTACGCTGTGCCAAATTTTGTGAAAATCAAAAATATTTAAAGACTTTGATGCACCATTTACATAAAATCGGGCGAAAATATATATGGGGGATATATCTAAATCTGAAACGATTTTCACCAATTTCAATAGGGTTCGTCCTTGGGCCAAACAAATGAGCTGTACCAAATTTCATCCAAATTGGATTAAAAATGCGACCTGTTTTTTGTTTACAATTTAACACGGAAATCTGAACGGACCGACATGATCGACTCAACAAATGATGGGAATATAGGAATCGTGTGTCTATCTGGTTTCCTTTTGCCTGTTACAAACATATGCACAAAGACATAATACCCTGTACCACAGTGTGGTGAAGGGTATAATGAGTAAAGATATTGATATTTTTTTTTTACCTCAGTGCAGCACTTTTAAGTACTTATTCAGATTCCTTTCAGCGTGGGTTGTGTTGTAATGTTCGGTTTTCAATGTGGCCTATAGATCGACTCGAAAAAAGACAAAAAAATAAGTTTTCGGTCTACTTCCTCCCAGTATTATTATCTGATCGTCACCGATAGGCGTTGCACATGACCATAACTGGAACCTCATGAAACATTTCAAAGCGATCAACGCAATATTTCCGCCCTCTAGTGTGGTAATGGGTTACTAAATAATATCTTAATACGTAAGCACCTGTAAATAATTACGTGTAACTCCCACATCCGAGCACATACGACAATATAATTGGTATCAATTTAAAGGCCGACCACTACTCTTGGATACACTATCAACTTCTCGGCTCTATGTCCTTCAGGAGTAAATATATACGCTATAGAATACAAATTTTGCCATTTTTCACACAAAAGTCAGGGTCCATTTGATCCGCTAAATATTGACCGATCTTTATCAAAACAGGCATGCTTATTCTTTGGCCCGATCGCGGGTTTTGGGCTATAATTGCGGCCTCTGGAGCGACCAAAAAAATCAACAAAAATAAAGTTTTTGGTCCATTTCATTACCTAAATATTAACCGATCTTTTCCAAAAAAAATGGGGGTCTTCATTGGCCAGAACTCATTCTACATGTAAAATTTCGTGAAGATTGGTCCATAACTGCGGCCTGTATCGTGTTTACAAATTATAATGGACAGACGGACGGACACACATGTCTAGATCGACTCAGCTAGTCGAGATATGACGATCGGTATACATAAAGGTGGGTAGGACCAATATTTCGGGCCTTAACAAACTTTTGGGGCTGCACAAAGCTGTAATACCCTGACAACATAGTTGTGTAGGGTATAAAAACAGGCATGCTTACCCCATGGCCCGATGCCCTTCTCCATGTAAAAATTCGAGATGTTTGGGCAATAATTGCGGCCTCTGGAGCGACCAGAAAACCCGACAAAAATTCAGTATTTGGTCCATTTCATCCTCTAAATATTAACTGATCTTTACCAAAAACAATAGGGGTCTTCATTGGACCGAACCTATCCTACATGCAAAATTTCGTGAAGATTGGTCCATAACTGTGCCGAGATATGACGAGCGGTATACTTAAAGGTGGGTCTAAGATCAATATTTCGCGGCGTTACAAACTCTTGGTGCTGCACAAAGCTATAGTACCCTGACAACATAGTTGTGTAGGGTATAAAAACTTGCCATATCTATGCAAATATGTATTTATAACCAAACGATTATTTTTAAAATGAATTTATGTACTTCATTTCGAAGATAATCGTTTGGTTGGAGACCATAATACACCTTAACATTGTACTTGAACTTCAGATGTCAATTCGAGCGTTTAAAGATCACTGAACTTACAAACAAAACAAAAGGCACTCAAGCACATACATGCATAAAGTAAATACAAACAGTAATAAGTCGGATCATACTAAACCTCTCTTATACCCTCCACTATAAACCTACATTGTCATTGAAGACATATGGTGACAAATTTAAATGGAACCTTTATAGACGAGCTAAATTTTGAATATTGACTAACTGAAGCAATATTTTTTTATACCGCAAGCGATGTTAGGGAGTCTTGAGATGGGTGGAAAAAAGGAACCTCTATCCGATTGTCACATATGTTGTTGTTACTGCCTTAAATGTGGAATATACGTTTTATATGTACATCATAACCCCATTGGCTGTAATGCGGTGTTCCTGGTTACCTATTTAGCCAATTTTAAACAACCTGCAGGATTTGTTCTATCAAACTGACTTTAGGTTAATATTTCGAGATTTCCACTTAACTTGTTTTTGTAAAGTAATCCTCTAAAAGTGGCGCTGTTATTATTCGGAAAATTTTAAACCTTAAATTCCAACTCCATAGTTTGCAAATAATGTTTTCTTCTAGACTACTCTTCGAAAACTAATTGTAAACTTTCCGTTGTCAAAGATAAAATAAAAATCATATTCACCTTTATTACTTTCAATATTCATATTTTGAATTACTGAAGTTCATATGTCATTGTGTTTAAAAACAGTCTTAACAATTTAATGCATTGACATATGTTTGTTTCACTTAGTTCAGGGTTTCAGCGCCACAGCGTCGCACAAGCCTGACCTTAAGTTCATTATTTCAGCTTTAATCTAATTCTATCTAAAATTACATCTCTTCAAAATAATTATTTATATATTATGAGCTAAATGATGTTCTTTTTCAAACACCATTTAGTTAGGAGCTAAGTGTGGTGGAGTTTAGAAGGTGTCGGAGTTTTGGTGCTAGTCAAGAGAGGAAAAATAAAATTCGAATAGCCAAAGGTAAGGGAAAAACTTGAATGGAAGTAGAAGGCGTGGATTTGTAAAAAAATATTTTCGGGCTCTAAACACGGCTTGGATTTATTAAAAATTATTTTTCGGGGCTCTATACAAGGCGTGGATTTATTAAAAATTATTTTTTCGGGCTCTATACAAGGTGTGGATTTTTAGAAAATTATTTTTCGGGCTCTATACAAGGCGTGGATTTATTAAAAATTATTTTTCGGCCTCTATGCAAGGCGTGGATTTATTAAAAATTATCTTTCGGCCTCTATACAAGGCGTGGATTTATTAAAAATTATCTTTCGGCCTCTATACAAGGCGTGGATTTATTACAAATCATTTTTCAGGCTCTATACAAGCCGTGGACTTATTACAAATCATTTTTCGGGCTCTATACAAGCCGTGGACTTATTAAAAAATTATTTTTCGGGCTCTATACAAGCCGTGGACTTATTAAAAAATTATTTTTCGGGCTCTATAACAAAGCGTGGATTTATTAAAAATTATTTTTCCGGCTCTATACAAGGCGTGGATTTATTAAAAATTATCTTTCGGCCTCTATACAAGGCGTGGATTTATTAAAAATTATCTTTCGGCCTCTATACAAGGCGTGGATTTATTACAAATCATTTTTCAGGCTCTATACAAGCCGTGGACTTATTACAAATCATTTTTCGGGCTCTATACAAGCCGTGGACTTATTAAAAAATTATTTTTCGGGCTCTATAACAAGGCGTGGATTTATTAAAAATTATTTTTCCGGCTCTATACAAGGCGTGGATTTATTAAAAATTATTTCTCCGGCTCTATACATCCACGCCTTTATTAAAAATTATTTTTCCCGCTCTATACAAGGCGTGAATTTATTAAAAATTATTTTTCCCGCCCTATACAAGGCGTGGATTTATTAAAAATTATTTTTCCGGCTCTATACAAGGCGTGGATTTATTAAAAATTATTTTTCGGCCTCTATACAAGGCGTGGATTTATTAAAAATTATTTTTCGGCCTCTATACAAGGCGTGGATTTATTAAAAATTATTTTTCGGTCACTATACAAGGCGTGGATTTATTAAAAAATATTTTTCGGGCTCTATACAAGGCGTGGATTTATTAAAAATTATTTTTCGGGCTCTATACAAGGCGGGGATTTTTTGAAAATTATTTTTCGGGCTCTATACAAGGCGTGGATTTATTAAAAATTATCTTTCGGGCTCTATACAAGGCGTGGATTTATTAACAAATATTTTTCGGGCTCTATACAAGGCGTGGATTTTTTAAATAATTTTTTTCGGGCTCTATACAAGACGTGGATTTTTTAAATAATTTTTTTCGGGCTCTATACAAGGCGTGGATTTTTTAAATAATTTTTTTCGGGCTCTATACAAGGCGTGGATTTTGAAAATTATTTTTCGGGCTCTATACAAGGCGTGGATTTATTAACAAATATTTTTCGGGCTCTATACAAGGCGTGGATTTATTAAAAAATTATTTTTCGGCCTCTATACAAGGCGTGGATTTATTAAAAAAATCTATTTTTCTTTTTTCAGACTGCCATCCATGGAATACCTCCGTATTTTTATCCTCTTTATAATCCTTACCACCTGGAGTGAGGCTTTCCAACACAAGGATGTGGATCGAATACTCATCAAATCTGGCATACGCAAGGGTAAATTTAGTTTGCAGGAAGCCGAGTCAGGAAAGCAGCTGGTCAGCAATATAGATGATGGTCTGCGAGATTTAATCGCCCTGATTCGTAAGGGATTTATCAAATATTCCGATAAAAAATCCTATCATCTGTATCACAACAACTGGAAGCGGGGTAAAATACAAATACCCAGTCGGAGGGGAGAAGATTTCCCATGCCCCTTGAATGGTACCCGTTCTGCCACAAGGCCTACCAATGTTAATCAGTTACGTCCAGGAGATATTGATGTGGTGGCTGCCATTGGAGATTCTTTGTCGGCGGGGAATGGTATCTATTCGAAGACGTTCCTAAATTTAATTGCCGAATTTCGTGGCATGGCATTTTCGGGTGGTGGTATGGCCAATTGGAGAACCGTGCTGACTTTGCCGAATATTTTAAAGGTGTTCAACCCCAATCTGTATGGCTATGCCACCGATAATGTTTTGGTTAAGGAAAAGAAGTCCTACTTTAATATTGCCGAACCGATGATAATGTCCCGAGATTTGGTGTATCAGGTGCAGGTGTTAATAGAACGCCTGAAGGGAGATCCTCGTGTAAATATGAAAAAGGATTGGAAAATTCTGACGATTTTTGTGGGCAGTTTGGATTTGTGCTTTGATCTCTGCCAAAGCGATCGGCTGTGGGATAAATTGAGGCAACATGAAATCGATTTAATTGATGCCTTTACCCTGCTAAGGGATAATGTACCGAGATTGTTGGTAAACCTTCTGCCAGCTCCCAATATGGTCACGACATTGGGTCAGTTGCGAAATGTCCCGCTGCAATGTAAGGCGGTTCATCTTTTTGGTTGTCGTTGTGTTTTCGGGGCAGCCCATAATGAAACATCGTGGCGGGTGGCTTCGGAATTTTTCACACGCTGGCAGGCAGTGGATGAATATGTCGCCGCCATGCCCGCCTTTCAAACCGATGATTTTGCCGTTGTCTATCAGCCGTTTACAGCTAATGCGAAATTACCTCGGGACCCTAAAGGTGATGTAGATTTGAGGTTCTTTTCCAGCGACTGCTTCCATTGGAGTCAATTGGGCCATGCAGCCATTGCCAATTCCCTATGGAATAATATGCTGCAAATGCCACATCGAAAAGATGAAGCCATACGAGAGCCCCTGGAGGTGTTTCAATGCCCGACGGCCGAACGGCCCTTTATTGCAACATTGCGGAATAGTCTTACGGGGTATTTTTAAGTATTTGGAAAAAAATATTATGCTGGGTTTACACATGGCAATTTGACAACCCTCCTAGCCTGATTTTGATTTTTCAAAATAGTTACTATGGAAATTTTTTTTCAGTTGCACTGAACCCTATTAAAAACCCACTAGATTTAATTGGGTTCAATAATAATTTCAAACTGTGCCCTGTGTAAACGTATGTTAATTCTAATATATTAATTAATGTGATATTTTAATGTATTTGTTATAATAAAAATAAAAATGTTGTTAATTCGTAAAATTTTTAAACATATTTTTTTAAAAAAATATTTTTTAGGCTCTAAACAAGGTGTGGATTTTTTAAAAAATATTTTTTCAGGGCTCTACACAAGGCGTGGATTTTTTAAAGAATATTTTTTAGGGCTCTACACAAGGCGTGGATTTTTTAAAGAATATTTTTTAGGGCTCTACACAAGGCGTGGATTTTTTAAAGAATATTTTTTTAGGGCTCTACACAAGGCGTGGATTTTTTAAAGAATATTTTTTTAGGTCTCTACACAAGGCGGGAATTTTTTAAAGAATATTTTTTGTAGGTCTCTACACAAGGCGTCGATTTTTTAAAGAATATTTTTGTTCAAGGCTCTACACAAGGCGTGGATTTTTTAAAGAATATTTTTTCAAGGCTCTACACAAGGCGTGGATTTTTTAAAGAATATTTTTTCAAGGCGTGGACTTTTTAAAGAATATTTTTTCAAGGCTCTACACAAGGCGTGGATTTTTTAAAGAATATTTTTTCAAGGCGTGGACTTTTTAAAGAATATTTTTTTAAGGGCTACCAAAAGGCGGGGATTTTTCAAAGAATATTTTTTCAAGGCTCAGCAGGAGGCGTGGATTTTTTATAGAATATTTTTTTAGGGCTCCATACAAGGCGTGGATTTCTTAAAGAACATTTTTTCAAGGCTCTACACAAGGCGTGGATTTTTTAAAGAACATTTTTTCAAGGCTCTACACAAGGCGTGGATTTTTTAAAGAACATTTTTTCAAAGCTCTACACAAGGCGTGGATTTTTTAAAGAACATTTTTTCAAGGCTCTACACAAGGCGTGGATTTTTTAAAGAATATTTTTTCAAGGCGTGGACTTTTTAAAGAATATCTTTTCAAGGCTCTACACAAGGCGTGGATTTTTTAAAGAATATTTTTTCAAGGCGTGGACTTTTTAAAGAATATCTTTTCAAGGCTCTACACAAGGCGTGGATTTTTTAAAGAATATTTTTTCAAGGCTCTACACAAGGCGTGGATTTTTTAAAGAATATTTTTTCAAGGCTCTACACAAGGCGTGGATTTGTTAAAGAATATTTTTTTAGGGATCTACACAAGGCGTGGATTTTTTAAAGAATATTTTTTCAAGGCTCTACACAAGGCGTGGATTTTTTAAAGAATATCTTTTCAAGGCTCTACACAAGGCGTGGATTTGTTAAAGAATATTTTTTTAGGGATCTACACAAGGCGTGGATTTTTTAAAGAATATTTTTTCAAGGCTCTGTACCAGGCGTGGATTTTTTAAAGAATATTTTTTTAGGGCTCTATACAAGGCGTGGATTTTTTAAAGAATATTTTTTTAGGGCTCTATACAAGGCGTGGATTTTTTAAAGAATATTTTTTTAGGGCTCTACACAAGGCGTGGATTTTTTAAAGAATATTTTTTCAAGGCTCCAAACAAGGCTTGGATTTTTTAAAGAATATTTTTTCAAGGCTCTACACAAGGCGTGGATTTTTTAAAGAATATTTTTTCAAGGCTCTACACAAGGCGTGGATTTTTTAAAGAATATTTTTTCAAGGCTCTACACAAGGCGTGGATTTTTTAAAGAATATTTTTTCAAGGCTCCATACAAGGCGTGGATTTTTTAAAGAATATTTTTTCACGGCTCTACACAAGGCGTGGATTTTTTAAAGAATATTTTTTCAAGGCTCTACACAAGGCGTGGATTTTTTAAAGAATATTTTTTCAAGGCTCTACACAAGGCGTGGATTTTTTAAAGAATACTTTTTCAAGGCTCCAAACAAGGCTTGGATTTTTTAAAGAATATTTTTTCAAGGCTCTACACAAGGCGTGGATTTTTTAAAGAATATTTTTTCAAGGCTCTACACAAGGCGTGGATTTTTTAAAGAATATTTTTTCAAGGCTCTACACAAGGCGTGGATTTTTTAAAGAATATTTTTTCAAGGCTCCATACAAGGCGTGGATTTTTTAAAGAATATTTTTTCAAGGCTCTACACAAGGCGTGGATTTTTTAAAGAATATTTTTTCAGGGCTCCATACAAGGCGTGGATTTTTTAAAGAATATTTTTTCAAGGCTCTACACAAGGCGTGGATTTTTTAAAGAATATTTTTTCAAGGCTCTACACAAGGCGTGGATTTTTTAAAGAATATTTTTTCAAGGCTCCATACAAGGCGTGGATTTTTTAAAGAATATTTTTTCAAGGCTCTACACAAGGCGTGGATTTTTTAAAGAATATTTTTCAGGGCTCCATACAAGGCGTGGATTTTTTTAAGAATATTTTTTCAAGGCTCTACACAAGGCCTGGATTTTTTAAAGAATATTTTTTTAGGGCTCTACACAAGGCGTGGAATATTTTTTTATGGCTCTATACAAGGCGTGGATTTTTAAAGAATATTTTTTAGGGCTCTATACAAGGCGTGGAGTTTTTAAAGAATATTTTTTAGGGCTCTATACAAGGCATGGATTTTTTAAAGAATATTTTTTCAAGGCTCTACACAAGGCGTGGATTTTTTAAAGAATATTTTTTCAAGGCTCTACACAAGGCGTGAATTTTTTAAAGAATATTTTTTAGGGCTCCACACAAGGCGTGGATTTTTAGTGTTCTAAAAAACATTCTGTAAAATGTGATTTACATCGGAACCCCCGTTATCAAAACGTGTAATATACACCATGTGTAAATAAGTCATTCACATTCTAAGTAAATCCCCTATAATAATCCCATATTTGAAAATAAAAACCATATCTCCATAAAAATTCATATTTCTTTGAACTTTCTGATGACAGTTTTTTGCCTTTCCAAATAAACACCACAATACCAGTTCATTGGCCGGCAAAAACAAAAATAGTCATAGTTGTCACAAAGTATGTGTGTGTGAGCATGTGTGTGTCATCTTTTGAACCCCAGACATTTAATTGGATTTTTTGTTTGTTTTTGGTTTACTAGTTCATGTTTATTGGCCGAAAGGTTAAGTGCACATAACCTCATATTTAGATAATTAAATTGTTGTTATTGCGTATTGTGTAAATGAAGAAAATAAATAAATTGTAGAGAAGGAAATCAGCTCAAACATAAAGGGATCAGCAAATTTTCTTTAAAAAATCCACGCCTAAGGCCCTTATAGTCGTGGAGAAAAATTCTTTAAAAAATCCACGCCTAAGGCCCTGATAGTCGTGGAGAAAAATTCTTTAAAAAATCCACGCCTAAGGCCTTGATAGTCGTGGAGAAAAATTCTTTAAAAAATCCACGCCTAAGGCCTTGATAGTCGTGGAGAAAAATTCTTTAAAAAATCCACGCCTAAGGCCTTGATAGTCGTGGAGAAAAATTCTTTAAAAAATCCACGCCTAAGGCCCTGATAGTCGTGGAGAAAAATTCTTTAAAAAATCCACTCCTAAGGCTCTGATAGTTGTTGAGAAAAATTCTTTAAAAAATCCACGCCTAAGGCTCTGATAGTTGTTGAGAAAAATTCTTTAAAAAATCCACGCCTAAGGCTCTGATAGTTGTTGAGAAAAATTGTTTAAAAAATCCACGCCTAAGGCCTTGATAGTCGTGGAGAAAAATTGTTTAAAAAATCCACGCCTAAGGCCTTGATAGTCGTGGAGAAAAATTGTTTAAAAAATCCACGCCTAAGGCCTTGATAGTTGCTGAGAAAATTTGTTTAAAAAATCCACGCCTAAGGCCCTGATAGTTGTTGAGAAAATTTGTTTAAAAAATCCACGCCTAAGGCCCTGATAGTTGTTGAGAAAATTTGTTTAAAAAATCCACGCCTAAGGCCCTGATAGTTGTTGAGAAAATTTGTTTAAAAAATCCACGCCTAAGGCCCTGATAGTTGTTGAGAAAATTTGTTTAAAAAATCCGCGCCTAAGGCCCTGATAGTTGTTGAGAAAATTTGTTTAAAAAATCCACGCCTAAGGCCCTAATAGCTGTTGAGAAAATTTGTTTAAAAAATCCACGCCTAAGGCCCTGATAGTTGTTGAGAAAATTTGTTTAAAAAATCCACGCCTAAGGCCCTGATAGTTGTTGAGAAAATTTGTTTAAAAAATCCACGCCTAAGGCCCTGATAGTAGTTGAGAAAATTTGTTTAAAAAATCCACGCCTAAGGCTCTGATAGTCGCTGAGAAAATGTTTAAAAAAAATCCACGCCTAAGCTCGTCAGCTCGTCTATAGAGACTCCCTTCAGCTCGTCTATAGAGAGACTCCCTTCAGCTCGTCTATAGAGAGACTCCCTTCAGCTCGTCTATAGAGAGACTCCCTTCAGCTCGTCTATAGAGAGACTCCCTTCAGCTCGTCTATAGAGAGACTCGTCTATAGAGAGACTCACGCTCTTCCTTCAGCTCGTCTATAGAGAGATCCACCTCGTAAGCTCCCTTCAGCTCGTCTGAGAGAATCCCTTCAGCTCGTCTATAGAGACTCCCTTCAGCTCGTCTATAGAGACTCCCTTCAGCTCGTCTATAGAGACTCCCTTGCAGCTCGTCTATAGAGACTCCATTCAGCTCGTATATAGAGACTCCCTTCAGCTCGTCTATAGAGACTCCCTTCAGCTCGTCTATAGAGACTCCCTTGCAGCTCGTCTATAAAGACTCCCTTCAGCTCGTCTATGGAGAGACTCCCTTGCAGCTCGTCTATAGAGACTCCCTTGCAGCTCGTCTATAGAGACTCCCTTGCAGCTCGTCTATAGAGACTCCCTTGCAGCTCGTCTATAGAGACTCCCTTGCAGCTCGTCTATAGAGACTCCCTTGCAGCTCGTCTATAGAGAGACTCCCTTGCAGCTCGTCTATAAAGACTCCCTTCAGCTCGTCTATAGAGACTCCCTTCAGCTCGTCTATAGAGAGACTCCCTTCAGCTCGTCTATAGAGAGAGACTCCCTTCAGCTCGTCTATAGAGATTCTTCCCTTCAGCTCGTCTATAGCTTCAGCTCGTCTATAGAGACTCCCTTTCAGCTCGTCTATAGAGAGACTCCCTTCAGCTCGTCTATAGAGAGACTCCCTTCAGCTCGTCTATAAAGACTCCCTTCAGCTCGTCTATAGAGAGACTCCCTTCAGCTCGTCTATAGAGAGACTCCCTTCAGCTCGTCTATAGAGAGACTCCCTTCAGCTCGTCTATGGAGAGACTCCCTTCAGCTCGTCTATAGAGACTCCCTTGCAGCTCGTCTATGGAGAGACTCCCTTCAGCTCGTCTATAGAGAGAGCTCGTCTTTAAAGACTCCCTTCAGCTCGTCTATAGAGACTCCCTTCAGCTCGTCTATAGAGACTCCCTTCAGCTCGTCTATAGAGACTCCCTTCAGCTCGTCTATAGAGACTCCCTTCAGCTCGTCTATAAAGACTCCCTTCAGCTCGTCTATAGAGACTCCCTTCAGCTCGCCTATAGAGACTCCCTTCAGCTCGCCTATAGAGACTCCCTTCAGCTCGTCTATAGAGACTTCCTTCTTCTCATTCCGAACTATTTCATTCTTTCATTACTTCTCCAGAACTACCCACCTAATTATCTGCTGTAAAAAAATTTAATATTTTTATTTATGTAACTGTTCTTTGAATGTGGTCATAAAAGTTAATTGCGCCGTGGTGTTAATTATTTTAACCAAACTCACACATATACACAGATTTATGTCTATGCTGCCGAAGAAGAAAAACAAAAAACAGAAGAAATAAAATTCTGCCCTGATTCAAATGAAGAGAAACGCCAAAGAATTTTCAAATATTAGGCCACCGTTTTTAGAATAATTTTCGTAGTCGATTAACAGCCAGTGAAAAGTAATGTACGTATCACATATTTGGCGAAAATTAAGACACGATAAGTGGTCATCAGTACTATTAAGTGGATTATAGAATGAGTGTTTATTTTAAGATTTTTAAATACAGTGCGAAAAAAATATTGGCAAGAGAATTAAAATTTAAGTGGGTGTAAAGTGGGAAATTTTTGAATCGAAAACCGAGAACAATTTGCAATAGAATATTTCTTAGGAGTCTATATAAGGCGTGGATTTTTAAAGAATATGTTTTTCGGAGTCTATATGAGGCGTGGATTTTTAAAATATATTTTATTTCGGAGTCTGTATAAGGCGTGGATTTTTAAAATATTTTTTCGGGGTCTATAAAAGGCGTGGATTTTAAAAAAAAAAAATTTTCGGAGTCTTTATAAGGCGTGGATTTTTAAAATATTTTTTTCGGAGTCTATATAAGCCGTGGATTTTTAAAAAATATTTTTTTTCGGAGTCTGTATAAGGCGTGGATTTTTAAAAAATACTTTTCTCGGAGTCTATATAAGGCTTGGATTTTTAAAAAATATTTTTTTCGGAGTATATATAAGGCGAGGATTTTTAAAAAATATTTTTTTCGGAGTCTATATAAGGCGTGTATTTTAAAAAAATGTTTTTTTTCGGCGTCTATATAAGGCGTGGATTTTTAAAAAATATTTTTTCGGGGTCTACATAAGGCGTGGATTTTTAAAAAATCTTTTTTATAGTCTATCCTAAGACGTGGATTTTTAAAAAATATTTTTTTCGGAGTCTATATAAAGCGTGTATTTTTAAAAAATATTTTTTTTCGGAGTCTATATAAGACGTGGATTTTTAAAAAATATTTTTTTTCGGAGTCTATATAAGGCGTGGAATTTTTAAAAATATTTTTTTCGGAGTCTATATAAGGCGTGGATTTTTAAAAAATATTTTTTTCGGAGTCTATATAAGGCGTGGATTTTTAAAAAATATTTTTTTCGGAGTCTATATAAGGCGTGGATTTTTAAAAAATATTTTTTTCGGAGTCTATATAAGGCGTGGATTTTTAAAAAATATTTTTTTCGGAGTCTATATAAGGCGTGGATTTAAAAAAAAAATATTTGTTTTCGGAGTCTATATAAGGCGTGGATTTAAAAAAAAAATATTTGTTTTCGGAGTCTATATAAGGCGTGGATTTAAAAAAAAAATATTTTTTTCGGAGTCTATATAAGGCGTGGATTTAAAAAAAAAATATTTTTTTTAAATAGTTATTCTCCATTTTTCTTTCCAGCCCCTGAACATGAATTTAAGATACCTCCTGGTGCCCTTCACCCTCCTGCTGTTCCACTTTGCAACCAATGAAGCCTTTGATCAGCGAAGAATCTCTTCCTTTTTGGATAAATCCATTTTGAAAAAATCCGATTTTCAATGGAAGGGACCAGCGGGAGGCAGCTACCATCTTGCCGATTGGAATGGAAAACCAGACCCCACCCTGCTGTGGCGTAAATTCCTACTTAAAGTTACCAATAAATTCCAACCTCTGTTACATCACGTGAATTGGAAGGAGGGTAAGGTGCAGGATGAAAAACGCCGAGATGAATTCCCTTGCCCTTTAAATGATACCCGCTCGCCAGTACAACCCGTCAATATCCATCAACTGCGTCCCGGTGATATTGATGTTGTAGCAGCCATTGGCGACTCATTATCGTCGGGAAATGGTGCAATGTCCGCCACAGCTTTGGGAGCCTATACCGAATTTCGTGGTATGTCATTTTCCGGTGGCGGTATGCAAGATTGGACCACCCTCTTGACATTGCCAAATATTCTGAAAGTTTTCAATCCCAACCTGTATGGATTTGCAACGGAAAATGTTTTGTCACGAGACTTAGCAGCCCATTTGAATGTTGCCGAACCGAATGCTCTTTCGCGGGATTTAGTGCAACAGGTACAAATTTTGATACAACGAATGCAACAGGATCCTCGTGTGGATATGCCGCGTCATTGGAAGCTCTTGACAATTCTGATTGGTAGCAATGATTTTTGCATGGACATGTGTCATCAGGATAATATGTTCAAATTTCTGAAACAACATGAAGAAGATTTACGCAAGGCTTTGACCCTGCTGCGCAACAATGTACCCCGGCTGATGGTGAATTTAATACCAGCCCCCAATTTGGTATATCTCCAGCAACAGCTAAAAACTCTACCCGGAATCTATAAAATCCCCTTGGGTTTGGCTTGTTCCTGTTTGGTAAATCGTTTCTATACCCCGGAATATTTGCAAAAGGCATCGGAATTAATATCGCGATGGCAGGCGGTTGATGAACATATAGCCGGCTTGGCGGAATTTCACACCTCCGACTTCACTGTGATATATCAACAATTTATGGCGAATTTGACAATTCCCCATTTGTCAAATGGGTTCATAGATCTTCGATACTTCGGTAAGGATGGTATACACTTCAGCCAATTTGGTCATGCGGCAGTGGCAAATTTGTTGTGGAACAATATGGTCCAGGGCAGTGGACAAGAGGATTTGGATCTCCGGCAGCCATTTGAGAACTTTGAATGCCCCACGGCGGAGAGACCCTACATCCTGACAATGAAAAATAAAAATGAATAAATAAATTGAAAATTCCGAATTTTAGATACTAAAGTTGCCAAAAAAGTATATCAAATAATTACTAAAAAAACTAGACACAATAAAAATATTCTTTAAAAAATCCACGCCTTATATAGGCCTCTAGAAAAATATTCTTTAAAAAATCCACGCCTTATATAGGCCTCTAGAAAAATATTCTTTAAAAAATCCACGCCTTATATAGGCCTCTAGAAAAATATTCTTTAAAAAATCCACGCCTTATATAGGCCAAAAAATATTCTTTAAAAAATCCACGCCTTATATAGGCCTCTAGAAAAATATTCTTTAAAAAATCCACGCCTTATATAGGCCTCTAGAAAAATATTCTTTAAAAAATCCACGCCTTATATAGGCCTCTAGAAAAATATTCTTTAAAAAATACACGCCTTATATAGGCCTCTAGAAAAATATTCTTTAAAAAATCCACGCCTTATATAGGCCTCTAGAAAAATATTCTTTAAAAAATCCACGCCTTATATAGGCCTCTAGAAAAATATTCTTTAAAAAATCCACGCCTTATATAGGCCTCTAGAAAAATATTCTTTAAAAAATCCACGCCTTATATAGGCCTCTAGAAAAATATTCTTTAAAACGCCTTATATAGGCCTCTAGAAAAATATTCTTTAAAAAATCCACGCCTTATATAGGCCTCTAGAAAAATATTCTTTAAAAAATCCACGCCTTATATAGGCCTCTAGAAAAATATTCTTTAAAAAATCCACGCCTTATATAGGCCTCTAGAAAAATATTCTTTAAAAAATCCACGCCTTATATAGGCCTCTAGAAAAATATTCTTTAAAAAATCCACGCCTTATATAGGCCTCTAGAAAAATATTCTTTAAAAAATTATATAGGCCTCTAGAAAAATCCACGCCTTATATAGGCCTCTAGAAAAATATTCTTTAAAAAATTATATAGGCCTCTAGAAAAATATTCTTTAAAAAATCCACGCCTTATATAGGCCTCTAGAAAAATATTCTTTAAAAAATTATATAGGCCTCTAGAAAAATATTCTTTAAAAAATCCACGCGTTATATAGGCCTCTAGAAAAATATTCTTTAAAAAATCCACGACTTGTTGTAATCCTTGAAAAAAATTTTCTAGGTCCACCCTGTGTTGCCATGAGTTTAATTTTGTTGTTGTTATTAGGCCTCAAATTTGTTTAGTTTCAATTTCTAAGTGTTTAATAGGCACTACGCCAATGTCGATGATGACTAAGTGACAGCCATCATCGATTGATTTTTTTTTTTTTTGGCAGGAGGGAGGGTTGATACACAAAGTGTATTATCACCCTTGTAGCCATTTATAACGGGGTTAATCAAATATTTTACCAGAATTTTGTAGATACTACTTTGGGGCTGTTACAACAGAATATTTTGTTTTGTGCCGGAAAGAGGGTGGAGCCCCCCCCCCCATTTTCATGCATGAACTTTATTTTTATTAAATTATACTTTACTAAGTGGGTTATCATAATATTTAATATGATTTTTATTAATTAGCTAAAGAAGACGAGACAAAAATATTTATTTTTTGGGGAAGAATGAGGAAAACTATAAAAATTAGAGAATAAATTGGAATGAGGGGATATTAAAAGGGGGGATGTTAAGTAAATTGAAAAGAGATTAGGCGGAGGGAAATGGATGTCTGAGTCATAGTAGAGGTCTTTGAAATGATATGAAATTTTGCATAGGTCACTTATTTGGCCCAAGGACTAACCCTATTGGAATTGAGAAAAATCGGTTCAAATTTTGATATAACTCCCATATATATTTTCGTCCGATTTAAGGTAAATGGTGTGCCAAAGTCCCTATATATATTTCGATTTGCACGAAATTTGGCACAGCGTAATGTATTAGGTCTAGAATGATGTGTGTTAAATTTCGTGAAAATCGGTTGAAAATTAGATATAGCTCTCATGTATATTTTCGTCCGATTTAAAGTAAATGGTGTACCAAAGTCTATATATATACTTCGATTTGCACGAAATTTGGCATAGTGTACTGAATTAAGTCTAAAATGATGTGTGTTAAATTTCGTGGAAATCGGTTTAGATTTAGATATAGCTCCCATATAGATTTTCGTCCGATTTTCGGTAAATAGTGCACCAAAGTCCCTATATGTCTTTCGATTTGCACGGAATTTGGCATAGCGTACTTACTTAAGTCTAGAACAATGTGTGTTAAATTTTGTGAAAACCGGTTCAGAATTAGATATAGCTCCCATATATATTTTTGTCCGATTTAAAGTAAATGGTATACCAAAGTCCCTATATATCTTTCGATTTGCACGAAATTTGGCACAGCGTAATGTATTAGGTCTAGAATGATGTGTGTTAAGTTTCCTGAAAATCGGTCCAGATTTAGATATAGCTCCCATATATATTTTCGTCCGATTTAAGGTAAATGGTGTACCAAAGTCTCTATATATACTTCGATTTGCACGAAATTTGGCATAGTGTACTGAATTAAGTCTAAAATGATGTGTGTTAAATTTCGTGGAAATCGGTTTAGATTTAAATATAGCTCCCATATAGATTTTCGTCCGATTTTCGGTAAATAGTGCACCAAAGTCCCTATATGTCTTTCGATTTGCACGAAATTTGGCATAGCGTACTGATTTAAGTCTAGAACAATGTGTGTTAAATTTTGTGAAAATCGGTTCAGGTTTAGATATATCTCCCATATATATGTTCGTCCGATTTTATGTAAATGATGCACCAAAGTCCCATATATCCTTCGATTTGCACGAAATTTGGTACAGCGTATTGAATTAGGTCTGTAGTGATGTGTGTTAAGTTTCCTGAAAATCGGTCCAGATTTAGATATAGCTCCCATATATATTTTCATCCGATTTTCGGTAAATAGTGCACCAAAGTCCCTATATGGCTTTCGATGTGCACGAAATTTGGCACAGCGTACTGAATTAAGTCTAGAACGATGTGTGTTAAATTTCGTGAAAATCGGTCGAGATTTCGATATAGCTCCCATATATATTTTTGTCCGATTTAAGGTAAATGACGCACCAACGTCCCTATATATCCTTCGATTTACACGAAATTTGGCACATCGTACTAAATCAAGCCTAGAATGATGTGTGAAGAGTTTCATGAAAATCGGTTCAGATTCAAATGCCACATAATTTCTTCATGCATTTTTCTTATGAAAATCCTTCATGGAAAAATGCCTCCACTACTTAAATACCATAAACCAGCCAAAAGATTTATTACCAACCACATCGGTCTAGGTAATTATTCAAACTGGATGCGGAAAAAAGTCTCGCACGAATCTATCATAAATTAATTTTAATGCTTCATTTCAGAAAAAAAAACACAATAAGAAGAAAAGGAATATCCAACAACAACAACAACGACAACTCATACAAATTATTAATAACATTAATGAGAAAACAAGAATAGGCCAAGAGGTCCCCCTCCCAACCAAAATTCGCCCAACCAGTCCCAGCCGGAGCGAGAGAAGAGTGTACACCACAATACAGATGATTAAAAATTATTTTCATATTTGCAGCTTTGATGTATTCGTGTGTAATTTATTTCATAGAAAACAACAGCAACAACAACAACATCAAGAGGATGGTATATTTTTCCCAAATGCATTTTTAAACAATCCAAAGAAAGAAGAAGAAAAATAAAAATCGAAATGGGGTAAAAAAGAAAAGCGTTGACGATAAATTCATAGGCTGGATGCCTCGGCTGCTGATGCAAAACTGCCTTCGTTAACCTCATTTAACGCCCTCCTTTTTGTTGGTTGTGTTGTTGTTGTTGCTGCTGCTGCTGTCACAGATTTCGGAAAAAGGGGGAAAGTGATGGATCAGATACATTATGCAAAGATAAACAGACAAGCATGCACCCATACAATTAAACATAAATATGCAGTATATCGATGTGTGCGAATGAGTGTAGTGTGTGTGTGTGTTCTATACTCCCATGCTCGAGATATTCCAATTCGAACTCCAACCAAGCAACCATCATTCGACTTTCCTAGACCAAACTGCATGTCGAATGGCATTGAAGATTTATGGCAACACAATTAATCAGTCCAGATGGATGTGGATGATGTTGGTGATAAGGGGGTGAACAAGAAGAAGAGTAGGCAGAAGATCTATATATTGGAAGTTATATGGTTGATAAATGCAGAGCAATTTCCAGCAGGAGGGGACTAGAGATGCCAGAAAGAACAAAAAAATAAACCTTGATATAGGCGTGGATTTTTTGAAATAATTCTTTTTTTGGGGCTACCATAGGCGTGTTTTAAATAATTCTTTTTTTGGGGGGCTAGCATAGGCGTGGATGTATTAAACAATTATTTTTGGGGTCTACCATAGGCGTGGCTTTTTTTATTAATTCTTTTTTTTTGGGTCTACCATAGGCGTGGATTTTTTAAAAAATATTTTTTATGGTCTACCATAGGCGTGGATTTTTTAAATAATTTTTTTCAACACCTATATAAGGCGTGGATTTTTTAAATAATTTTTTTCTACACCTATATAAGGCGTGGATTTTTTAAATAATTTTTTTCAACACCTATATAAGGCGTGGATTTTTTAAATAATTTTTTTCAACAACTATATAAGGCGTGGATTTTTATAAATAATTTTTCCAACATCTATTTAAAGCGTGGATTTTTTTAAATAATTTTTGCAACATCTATTTTTTTTAAATTATTTTTTCAGGGACCCTTTTAAGGCGTGGATTTTTTTTAAATTATTTTTCCAACATCTATTTAAGGCGTGGATTTTTTTTTTAAATAATTTTTCCAACATCTATTTAAGGCGTGGATTTTTTTAAATAATTTTTCCAACATCTATTTAAAGCGTGTCAGGGTATTATAGCTTTGTGCAGACACAAGAGTTTGTAACGCTGCAAAATATTGGTCATAGACCCACCTTTATGTATACCGATTGGTAGAGATCTGTTAATATTTAGAGGATGAAATAGACCAAAAACTTTATTTTTGTTTGATCTT